CTCTTCCAACATCACAATTCAAAGGCATCAATTCTTCTACAGTCTTCCTTATTCACTGTCCAGCTTTCTCATCCATATAAAGCTATTGAAAACACCATGGCTTGGGTCAGGCACACGTTAGTCCTCAAGCTGACATCTTTGCTCTTCAACAGTTTAAAAACTTCCCGTGCAGCAGATTTGCCCAATGCAATACGTCATCTGATCTCTTGACTGCTGTTTCCCTGAGTGTTGGTAGTTGATCCAAGAAGAATGAAGTCCTTGACAACTTCGATCTTTTCTCCGTTGATAAGAATGATGTTTATTGGTCCAGTGGTGAGGATTTTTGATTTCTTGACATTGAGATGTAATCCATACCGAAGGCTGTGTTCTTTGATCTTCATCAGTAAATGTTTTAAGTTCTCTTCACTTTCAGCACGCAAGATTGTATCATCTGCATATCGCAGGTTGTTAATGAGTCTTCCTCCAATCCTGATGCCACCTTTTTCTTCGTAAAACCCAGCTTATTGGATGATTTGCTCAGCATACAGGTTGAATAAGCATGGTGAAAGAATACTAGCTTGTCGCACACCTGTCTTAATTTTAAAACATTCAGTGTTCCCATGTTGTGTTCGAACAACTGCTTCTTGGTCCAGGTACAGATTCCTCATGAGTACAATTAAGTGTTCTGGAATACTCATACTTCCCAATGTTGTCCATAGCTTGTCATGATCCACACAATCGAAAGCCTTTGCGTAGCCAATAAATCACAGGTAAACAACTTTTTGATATTCTCTGTTTTCAGCCAAGATCCATCGGACATCAGCAATGACATCTCTCGTTCGGTGACCTCTTCTGTATCCGGCTTGAACCTCTAAGATATCAATGTTTATGTGTTCCATTTCATTTTTTAAAACTTCCAATGTTCCCCAGGTAGAAAGGCACTCAGGTTGTAAGGCATTCAAAATGCGACTGGGGAAGAGTAAATGTAGAGTTGACCATGATGACGTGAATGTAGTTAAGCTCGTGGGAGAAAAGCCTTCAGAACCTTCATTTGCTGATGGGGCACAACTCAAAATGAAGAGAAACAGCGGTAAACATCCATTGAAAATCGGAACATGGAATGTACAAAGTATGAATCTGGGAAAATTGGAAGAAGTTGGTAGAATTCTTCAATTTCTTCATGATTGGCTTTAGTGGTTGGCGCATAAACTTGAATAATAGTGCTATTAACTGGTCTTCCTTGTATGAGTATGAATATTGTACTATCACAGACAGCATTGTACTACAAGATATAGTTCACAATGTTCTTTTTGACAATGAATGTGATGCCATTCTTCTTCAATTTGTCATTCTCAGGATACTAAAACATATGATTTTCAGTGCGAATCCTACAACAATATCATTTAATATGCGTATGGGGTTCTGGTGTAGGGTATATTCTGGACTTCTAACAACAAGGTAGACAGTTCAAACCCACCAGCCACACTTTGGAAACCCTACACAGGATTATGGTCACTATGATTCCATACTGACTCGAAGGCATTTAACCTCAGCAATAACAATGACTAGGATATTTATCTTTATGCATTCCATTTCAGTTTTGATGACCTCCAATTTTCCTAGATTTATATTCTACATTCCATGTCCTGATTACTGATAGATGTTTGAAGCTGGTTTTTCTCATTTTGAGTCGTACCCCATTTGAAAATGAAGGTACCAAAAGCTTTACTGAATCCACATCATTAAGGTCAACTGTACTTTAAGGAGGTAGCTCTTCCACAGTCATATTTTGTGTGCCTTCCAACCTGAGGATCTCATCTCTTAGCACTGTATAAGACAATGTCCCAGTGCTATTCAAAAGTGGCTAATGATTCATAAGTGGCCCGCCTCTCCTTCTTCCTAGCCTGTCTTAGTCTGGAAGCTCTGCTGAAACCTGTCCACCATGGATGACATGGCTGGTATTTAAAATACCAGTGGAATAGCACACAGCATCATAGCAACACACAGGCCACCTCAGTATGACCAGTTGACAGATGAGTGGTGGTATTACAAAATAGTATTAGTATGAGGGACTGTACTCAGTTTTTCTCATTATTTCATTCTTTCTTAATAGGCATGCTTTATGTAATAAAAAAAATGTAAGGGTAAATAAAAAATATTGCTGTTAGATCATATAACTCTTTATTTAAATGTATCAAGATGTGAAGTTGGTATTAACATATCCTTCATCTAGATCTATACACTTCTGAATGTAATGTTTCAATATCTCTGTGGGTTAATGTGCTAGAATGCAAAGTCAGTTGAACCACAGGGTCACCAGCTGCTCCTTAGAAACTTTATACAGGGTCACTATGGGTTGGAACCCACTCAATGGCACTTAACAACAACAACAACAAGATCTCTTCCATGAAGAATTATACATCCTTCAATTTGCAAAACTACAGTTTTGGCATACCCCAGGGAGTCCTATTGTATTCCTTTTCGATATTTTTTAAATTTTGTGGCATAAAAAGAAGTCTGAAGTGGTAAAATCAGGGCTGTAAGATAGATGGGGTAAGGTTTCCCAACAAAATTCATATAGGACAGCCCTTGCTACCCTCGGAGTATGAGCAGGTGCGTTGTTGTGATGGAAAAAGACCCCTTGGTGCAACTTTCCTGGCCTTTTTCTCACCAATGCAGTTTTCAATTTTCTTAAAACTTCTTCACAATAAGTCCCAGTGGTTATCCTTTTTCCCTTGAGAAAAATCTATCAAGTTTACCCCTTTGGAGTATCCCCCAAAACAGTCACCATAGTTTAAGCTGACCTTTCCGCCTTGAATTAATCTTTGTGGTCTTCACGACTTTCCTTAAAATGCTTGCTCCATCTTAAAAATGGTTGTTTTCTATGGCACAGGATTCCTTAAACTTGTTGCAAGGCTTAAATAATTTGAAAAGATGTCCAGTTGAGGTTTTTTAAAAATTTGATATTATAACTGATGTCAAAACTGACTTTACTTGACAGCAATAAATATCCTGTTATTTGAAGGCACCATAATGAGACAAATGTATTACTGAAAGAATGTATCTATAACCATCCACTGCCAGATTATCTTCCAAAGTGGTTACCAAATTTTTCATTCCTTAAATGATGTTTACTATTTATTTCACATCCTTCCTTCATACCATTTGGTGTTGTCAGTGTTTTGGATATTAGCCATTCTAATAGATAAGGAGCCCTGGTGCATAGTGAGGCAATAGGTAATGTGTTGCGCTGTTAACCACAAAGTAGACCTTTTGAAGCCACCATCCCCTGAACAAGAGAGAAGGGATGCTTTCTGTTCCCATAAAGATTTATAGCCTCAGAAAGTCTACATATGAGTGATTATGACTCAGAAATTATTTGATGGCACTGGGAACATGTTTACTGTGTTTGGATTTGCAACTCCTTGGTGTGGTGTTGTAAGATAAGCACTGAACTGCTAAACACAAGGTTGGTTGTTCAAACCTACCAGTTGCTCTGTAGAAATCCTTTATAGGTTCGTGATGAGTTGGAACCAATTTGACAGCATTTAACAACAAAAACAATCAACATATGAGGAGTTCTGGAGTAGCACTGTAGGATAAGCACTGGACTGCTAACTAAGAGGATAGCAATTCAAACCTACTAACCATTCCTCAGAAACCTTGTACAGGATGGCTATAAGTAGGAACTGGCTCAAAAGCACTCAACAATACTGACATATAAGATTAAATAGATTTTCATACGTTTATTTGACATTTGTATATCTTCTTTAAGGAGCTCTGCTGTCTTAGCAGGAGTCTCCAGTTTTCCACTCAATTTTCTTACCCCAGCTGCATATACAGATGTGCATTTGTATATGCAGCTGGGTTTCAACTTTTGGCTGCTAGCCAAAAATATCTTGCTTTGAACTCACCAAACAACTCCATGGGAGAAAGACCTGATGATCTGCTCTCATTAAGATTGTTGCATTGTGTTGTGTTGCTATGTATTGTCTAGTTGATACTAACTTATAGTGACCCTGTATTGGGTTTCCAAGGAGTGGCTGGTGGATTTGAGCCACCGACCTTGTGGTTAACAATCCAGAGTTTATCCTACAGCACCACATTAGAACCTATGCATAAAGATTACAGTCTAGAGATTTTTGGGGGCAGTTCTATTTTATCACATGGGGTTATTATGAGTTGAAATTGACGCCACAACACCTAACAACAACATCTTTCTTGATAAAGTTTCTCTTTAGGTTTTCTGCCTATTTTGTCATTGGGATATTTGTTTCATTTTTGTTTAAGCATTTTTTAAATGTGGTTTGCAAACGTTTCAACCACTCTGTGAGTTCTCTTTTCATTTTCTTAGCAATGTGTTTTGCAAAACAAAATTTTTAATTTTAACAACATCCAACTTATCAATCAACACTTCTGTGTATATTTTTTGGCTGCTCAACAATCCTGATATGCTTCCTTTCAAAGTGCTAATAATTTCAGTCAAGTTGCTGTCAAGGTTTGCAATTCTGTGAATCACTATCTTTCTTTCAGTTCCTGAATATTATTTAACTTCTATTGATTATGTGCTGATTTTCAAACTTGACTCAAAAGACATTCAATTTCCCTTATCTCCATAGTGCCATTGGCTGGAGGATGTTTCACTATAACTCTAGCCATGTATGAAATTCTTGTTTTTCTTGCCCTCTAGTTCTTTTAGTTCTTTGGAGACGACAAATTCCTTCCCAAGTAAGAACGTATATGATGTTGTTTTTGTTGTGTGCCATTGAGTCAGTTCTGACTCATAGATACCCAGAGTAGGGTTTCTGAGATCAGCTGGTAAGTTTGAACTACTGACTTTGCAGTTGTATTCAGCTTATCTTTCAGTTCCACACCAAGGATCAGTGCTTATATAAATTGCTCCTTTTTCCTGGACTGGTCTTTTTATTCTTCAAGAAATTGATTCTACTTTTTCTTCAGGTTGCATACTTTGTGTGTGCGTGTGTGTGTGCAGATTTATAAATTTATTTGATAAGCAACAGTTAGTTTTCATCTACAGTAGCTGTCTGTAGGTTTCTGAAAGTGATGAAAGACACATAGGTCACCATTGTATAGAGTTTGTTTAATGAATCTTCATCCTCATTATGTTTTCCAGACAACTGCACATGGATATAATATGGGACATTCCTGTTTCCTTTGGCCCAGACAGCTTTGGCATCAATATGCACTTCTGGAGTTCCCAACCAATTCATGGCAAATTTCTTAATATCATTGAGTGCTTGAGAAACACTCTTCTTGAAGCCTACTACTCCATGGATGTGCTTGTGAATGTTGATGATGTACTCTCTGGTCACCACTTTGTTGACAACAGAATGGCCTTTCTTCCTCTTTCCACCTGTCTTTGTGGGATCCATATCAATGGGACCAGATTCCTCAGATTGGATATTAAAAATAAATTCTCCAGAGAGTACTCTCTGAACTGCACTAAGGCCCTTTATTATTTTCTCATATTGAACCTTGGTTGCATAGATTTCATCAGGATTTCTAATTAAATATTCATGCAAATGTTTATTTACTTGCTGTTTATTTTGCTCACTTTATGATAAGCTCCATGAAAATGGTGACCAGGTATGTTTGGTTTATCACTGTATTGTCAGTGCACACATAGTGTAGGATAATATAATAAAAATAATTATTTAATTAAGGAATGAACAAGGAATCTAGCAAGAATCTTCATTTGTCCACTCAAGTTTCTTACTGAGCTAGTATGAAGAACAAATGGAAGGAAACGGTATATAAATATAAACATCTAGGGATTGTATTCAATCCAGTCTCATTTACATATTTCTGGTTCTCCAGTTTAGTAAAATGTTATTTTAAAATGGAAAGCCTTGTGGAAATTTCAGTTTCTAAAGTGGAATAGTCAATCACATGAGCTTTGGAATCAGAATAACATAGTTTATATCTTTAGTTTTAAGACTGTTTTGTAATGTATTCATGGCAATGTTGCTTAAACTCTCTGAGCTTGTTTCTTCATTGATAATAATCTACCTCAGAAGATTATTATGAGGATAAATTGATAGCATACATTTAAAGCAAGTGGCATTATACCTGTACATAGGGGAAATGAATTCAGCTGGTAATACTCCTTTACGATTATTTACTCCCAAAGACAACAACAGCAAGGACAATTATAGATTGTTGGAGGTCTGAAAAAGTGTCTGTGGCATCTTGGAAGAAAGTTTTGTAGTTCTGCCCATTCTATCTCCAGGATTATTTGGGGGCTTTTTCATTAGAATGATATCATAGAATTGCCCTTTTCTCTAGTAGGATAAGTACTGGACTGCTAACCATAAATAGGTGATTCAAACCCACCAGTCAGTTCTTTGAAACCCTACACAGATTGTTATGATTCAGAATGGACATGGCAGCACTTAAGAACAACTCTAATGTTCCTCAGTGATTCATAATAACTCATTCAGCTAGAAAATCAAAATCTAAGCATGTGAGATTTCAGCATGCCTGCTTGCTAAAGCAAGTGGAATGCAAATGTACATTTTTAGAGTCTGGTCTTTTTCATTTTCTCTCTTAGCCAGTTATTTGCTATTCAAAACACTGAATTCTCTCATTTTACAGGTAGGAAAGACTTTTTAAGCTTTCAAATGGGTGAATCCAACATGCTATGATTTCACCCTCCCTTCCCCTTCCCCTGAACATCCTCATGTAGATACAATATGGACAAAACAAATAAACAAAAAGCACATCAACTGTCATGATTTTAAATATTTTAGAAAACAACTACAGAGTGGTGTGTGCATGTTTGGGAAAAGAGAGAAGGGAAAACAAAATTATTCATGAATGATCACTGAGCTAGGATTAAGAGAGTTGGCAGCTTTCTCTACTGGGATTATCAATGTCATGTGAACTCAAACTAGTAATTTAATTTCTAGTTCATCTATTTGTTCCATCTGAAATTAGAACAACTATTTGGCAGCACTTGTCTCAGCACTATTTTTGTTGTGTGTTGTTGAGTGGGTTCCAACTCATAGGAACTCTGTATAGGGTTTGTGAGGCAGTAAATCTTTAAGGGAACAGAAAGCCTTGCCTTCCTCCTGTAGAGAGACTGATGGAGTCAAACTGTTAGCTTTGCAGTTAGCAACCCAGCATGTAACCCACTAAGCTAGTAGCTCTCCTACCTTAGCACTAAGCACTCATTAATACTTATGGTTAAATGGATTGATATGTAAGGTAATTATATATGGAAATGATGAAGGCATTTTAAATCCCTAAAGGAGGAAAACAAAACAAAACTTCCATTGCATTTAATATTATACTTCACCTTAGAACTATCCACAAAATACAGCGTTTTCATTATTTTTTTGTACTGAAACCGCTAAGAATGGGAGTCATGTTCTTTTTAGCATTTTAATTTGTTAGTCTAATCTGGAAGCACTATACACAGAAATCAGTCTGAAAAACGTATGTGAAGGAAATGGGATGCTGAGATGCTTTTACACTCAGCTGTAGGAACATATCTCACAGGGAGATAAAGTAATGACAGTGATTTCCTTGTGTGACTCATAAGCAGATTCTAGAAGCAGTTGCCAGAAAGTGTTCCAAACATTGCTAGAATAACTGCATGACTTCTGTAACCATTTTTATTGAACCCCAAATCACAATTCATGGTTTGAATAAGGCTTTTTTCTGATTTGTAAATGTCTGTGGAAAATCTTAACAAACTTATTCAAATTAAGTAATATTTCATTTTACCTTTAGTGTATCACCATTATTGACAATGATAAAATTGCAGGGCATCTGGTTGTTCCATCATGGAAACTTTGGAACTAATGGTTATCATGTGTACACCAAGATGAATACTTTCAATAGGAATGATTTCAGTGGTATGTAACAATAGTTACATGTTTATTTCAAGTTCAATCTTCCTTTTTTACAGCCTTATCTTTTATAATTTTGATGCATTTAAATCAGTACCCAACCCCACACACAATGAAACAAAATGTTGCCCAGTCTTGTGTCACCCCCAAATCAATTGTTCAGTGGACATTTGAATCATTTTTGTAAGTAGATCATGATGCCTTCCTTCATAGTGTTCTAGGGGGGAAAAGGCAAATTGAAATGTATTATAGACCTTACACAGTAGCCCTATACAGGATCACTAAGGGTTGGAACCAACCCGATAACACTTAATAACAACAACATATATCTTAACCAGATATACTAGTTACTATATGGTGTTAAAAAAAATTCTAGGCCATTTGTCTAATTATGTTGTTGTTGTTAGGTATCCTTGAATCAGTTCTTTCAGCTTGAGAAATGCGGAGTGTGTTCTTCTCTTTTGATTTTTTATCTCCAGATCTTTGCATCATAATACTTGACTTTGTTCTCGAGCTGACCTTTGAAAAGTTCTCTTCAGCTCTTTGGAAAACTTCTCAGCATCATAGTAACATGAAATCTTCCACTGAGCGACAGTTGGGGCCTGCAAAAGATGCATTATTCAGAACAGAAATTGGGTCTCTTGCATGAATGGTGAAACTTTAACCACTGAACCACAGATGGAATGATTCTACTGTTTTCTTTCCCACATTTAATACATTGAACACAATAGGTAATGACTTTGTACTCCTCTGTATGTACTTGTTGTTGTTGTTGTCAGGTGCCATCGAGTCAGAACCGACTCATAGCGACCCCATGCACAGCAGAACGAAA